CCTTTTCTACTGACACTACAACGGCTCCTCCATCGGATGCTCAGACAGCAAGGAAGTAGGTCACAGCTACCCAAAGGTCGAAGGGATGACAGCCTTCTTTACACAAATCTGATGTTCCCACACACAATGACGGCTCTGCCAGGTGAGGCAATTTTCTTCCAGAATCTGAGCTGCACTGATATATTTGTTCAGGAGGAAATGTCCTATTGGGGGTGGAGAGGGAGAATTACAGAGAATTAAAAGTATATGTGGATGCCTGTCATCTTTTTTCTCCCATAAGTCTACTAGAGGTGGGTTAGGAATTGATTTTGAATCTACCTAATGATATCTGGTTGCTAGAAAAATCACAACAGCAAAAGAATTTTTAAAACCTTTTCAATCATCAATAATCATTTAATCAAATAAAGACATTTTAGACCAAAAAGAATTAAAATAAAATTTATTTGATTTTTCCCTATTCTTTGATTAAAGCAGCAAATATACAACAATCCTCTGAAATATTAGCCTTTTCAATAAAACCAGTGACGTGGAAGCACTTTGACTTCTGCACGGCAACTGAGGACTGGAGCCAGAGAATACTGCAGTCTATAAACAGCTACCCCCAGCACGTCAGCACCACTAAACAGCGTGCTCCATGTCCTCTGCATCCAGACAGAAACAGATCTCAGGAAACCCAAGAACACTTGCTGGATCTAAAAATAATAATTATTTGTTATGATCATTGTCAGTCCTTAATATCTTGTACAAAACTGACTCCAACTTAACTTGACCATGCTGCCTGATATTTGGGAGAAGACAAACCACTAATCAACTGTGAATATTAACTGAAAATGCTACCTTGTGGAGGCATTTTAATATCTTAGTAATTGGGTGAAGTGTTCCCTCTAACTGCTGCTTTAAAATGGTTTCTATAACAAAAATGTCAGCCAGGGTACACGGAGTCTTTGCAAACACTCAAGGCTCTAGTATGAGTAAGTGACCAAAGCCCCCCTGCAAGGGGAGCTACAACTCTGCATAGTGGAGGTCATATGGAAAATAGAATTACATGCTACTTTGTTCCTATATTAAGTTATCACAGAAAGTCAGGTGAAACACAGTAAAGTGAATTCTGGAAAAAAAATTAAGTAGATTGGTATGAACCATGTCAAAGTAAACCGCCTTGATACAAACAAGAAAGAGTTTGAAAGCAGGTTTCTTTCTTCGTTTATTATTTCTAACTAGACCTCTATAATCACATGAGTAACTTAAAAACAAAAATGTTTTCTACAAATAGTTCTTCTCTAAAGAACTGGGACAGAATTTCTTTTATGAGAGAGAAGAAATAGAGAAATGTCTAATGTTCAAGGGAATAATCTTCTTCAAAAACAAAAAACAAAAATGAAACAAACTTCACTTTCACTATTTAAATTAAGTTTACAAAGATAATTTTCCATTCATTGTCAAATGAAGAAATGCACACTAAGTGATGGGGTTGTAAGTTACTTCTATAATGCTTTATTTTACACCAAATAAATCAAATAACAATAGCGGTGTTTTGCTTAATATAGAGTGGTCTGAAGAAAAGGTACCTTACATAAAAATCTACTGAGGGAAAGCTATCTTTATCTTAAAGATGCAAATCTACAAATTATAAATGCGGTACAAATGGCTGCAGACTTCAGGCTACGGCTCCCATGGCACATCCCTCACAGCTCTTTATCTGGAAAGTCCCTGTAGAGGGGGGAGAGAAAGGACCTGGGGTGGGGGGTGGTGATGTAGAAATAAACCCTTAGGCTCAGGAAGTCACAGGTACAGCTTTTCACAGTGCACCCTGTCTACTGCAGAGCACGACAAAAACAGTAACAGAGGCCACTATGCCACACCTCAGGCAATTCTTGGAGAAAATGTGAAACAATAATTCTGTGTTCTCAAGCTCACCCTTTCTCCACTTAGATATTGGCTGAATTGTCAATCTCCCCCCCCCCCCCCCACATTTCCAGGGCCAACTAATAAGGAAGCAAGTCAGTTGGCCGAACTTCCCTTAAATCAACTTGTTTTTAATTTCTAAAAACATTTTATATATTGATTTTATGACTTAGGTTACCATAAAATAAGCTAGGCTCCCATGAAATACCATTGGGTTATTGTCTTTCAATGGCTTTCCCTGGTAAACATCACCAGCCCAATTCACCACAATTTCTCCCACCATGGGAGACCTAAAATTTTTACACATTCTGATGTATAAATACATGATGTCTATTTCTTGTAAAAAGGATTTTATGTATTGACATCTTCGTCCTAGGATCACAGAAAAGACAGGAACAAAATCTGACAAAAATGGAGGGCTGCACTGGTGTCTAAAAACCAGCACTTGGGATTAATCTTCACTTGCAGAGGAAACAATCCAGTGTCAAGACAGAGGTGGCCTGCCATGAAACACTGCATTAAATACTACAACAACTCATGTGAACTGTCTTAATACAACCCCATGTCATCTATAGATGGCTGTGTGTACACCTTCAATTTAATGTGAAAATGTGTCAAAATATTCAGCTAGTCGAAGACAGCATCAAACAAATCAGCAGCTACTGTATGACTAAAATGAAGACAGAATCAGACTTGAGAAGAACCCTAAAAACTAAGGGCCCAGCCGGCATCAAGACTCCAGTTATCACAAACAACATCATGATTTTTGTGGGCTGCTTATGAAAACTGCATTTCCCTAGCTAGCTGGGAGGAATGAAAAGCTTCTTACAGCCAGCTAAAAAGAAAGTCTTTACCATGCCCCTTGAAAAAGCTCATTTTCACATTACTCAGGCTTCATTATGCTAAATCAATATTCGTTTAGTCACTGGGGTTATTGACATATTTTAAAATAAAAGTATACCCTTCAGCTACTGCACTCATTACAGGTAATTTGTCTTGTCAGAGAGCAGGGAATATTATCTTAGTCTTTCAGGGGCTGACAGCCCATGGAAATACCTCCCCATGGTTACAACTGTAAATAATTTTAAGGTAAAATATTGAAAAATCAATGACTGCTTCCTGCAATCTGTCACAAACAAATCAATCATAATCTGTACTGCCATCGAGTATGATTTGAAGGAGATGGGAGCAGATGTAATTCCTGGCTGGAGTCTCTCATTTCAAAATCACTTCACATAATGGTGTCATCATTTAAACACTTAACAGTCAGCGCAACGGCTGCTTGTAACATCGAGTTGGACAAAACCACAAGGAGGAGGAGGAGAAAATGCCATCACTATTATGTTAACAAACATTTAATTTAAATGGTTGGTGCATTAGTAAATTTCCGCTGTGAACAGTTTTACCTGCCCCTTTCACAGCTTGAAATTAATCAGGGCTGCTTTCTTTTGTCCTGACGGGTGGGAAGTTAGCCTATGACTTCAACTGTACTCTCTAAAACACTTGTACTTTTTATTTCAGAAAAACATTATAGAGAAAAAAATCTGGAATTAACAAATAAGACACATGGGTTCCAGAATACTCTACAACTCTTTCACTGTAACAATGACAAAAAATAGTGTCATACAAGTCAAGATCATACTTAATGGCCTAAAAAATCGGCAGAAAGGTCTTGGATGCCCAAATGTTGAATTTTACATTTCCTTCTATTAATAAACACATTTCAACTTTGTAATGTTGTAGTAGTCAGGTTGAAAACATGCTGTACTCTAAACACAAGCTGTACCGTCAACTGCTGTATTAAAAGCAAGAGAAATAACCCAACCATGCCAGGTGTGAAGTTGGTCATGGTCACAACACGGAATCGTGCCAATGTAAACTGCTTTCCAAATAAGTGCATTGCTATCGGCATTTTCTAACTCCATTGTAATGGTTCCCCAGCTGCTGACACCCTTTGAGAAGACACGGGGAAAGGAATTTGAAACTAATATTTCTCCTGCTCCTCGAGGGCTCCCCCACACATCACTTCACTTCCAGACTATCCGGAATCTTTTCTGAAGGTCTGTGATTGTAAATGTGCTCTAGTACCTTTAATGCAAGAAATCAATTTGAGCTTCCACATTTCTTAGCATTTTCCAATTATACAATTAGACACCATGAAGCCCTTTACTACATATAGGTCAGGGGCTAGAAATTTGTGATGACAGAGAAAACGCTGCCTTTCTTAAAAAGAAAAACAAACAGATATAAATACTATTAACAATTGAGGACTGTGTCAATACTCCTAGACAAAGTAATTGCTCTTCTGAACGGACTGATTTATAACTGAACCTTCTTGGTCAACATGGCAATACAGGGCCAGAAGACAGCTTCTCTGGAAGATATAATTGGAGCCCAATGCTGTTTTTCAGGAATCTTAGATTTCAATGCCAGCAGTAGTTTTGAAGACAAAAATATAATGGGTGAGTTATCAGAGATGCCGTCCATCGTGTAGCAGAGTCTTCTATTCTGTGTGAGCTGCAACAGCTGCAAAGCACACAGTAGCCAGCCTAGTGTGGTGGGAAGGGATAGCCTGGACAGGGTTTCTGAAAGTCAATAAAGCTTGGGCTGGAAGCAAGCAAAGAAACCATGGCCTTCTATCTCCAGCTGCTCTCTTGCTGGGGTCTCTGCATCCCAGGGCCAACCTGCAAGTCTTCCCCTGTACTGGACCGGGCTGGCGCTCAACCACCATAGAGAATACCCCTAGGTAATGCAACAAAGGAATAGGAGGTAAATGAGGACAGCTGGACAACAGGCTGAGTGCACGTCAATCCCAAACTGAAATGTCATCTGCTAGAGCTGTGCAGGACGCCATCGCAGATCTAATTCACAGAAAGAAGCTATTTTAAGGGTGCTGAGTAGGCCAAAATGTTATTTCTCAGCTCTCTAAACACAGCCTTTGGCTCTGGAAGAAGCAGACTCGGAAAGTTAGCAGAGGAAAAATAGGATGGTTCCCATAGCTCAAAATTAAACTGCCGTCTATTGGACAGACTTCTCATGTATGATAAAGATTCAGTATTGCAGGGAAAAGTGCTCTTGACGATAGATTGTATTACCTCCCTGTCTTCCGAATCACCTCCTTCCATGGGCAGTCAGGAGTCCAATACGAACTGGGAGTCTTAAAGAGAAAATGGTCACAGTTAGCTTCATCTCTCTTACCATTTCCTTCCTTCATGCAATTACAATTTAATTACTGATACCTCAATTGATTTTATTCATGGATGATGCAATTCTTAAAAAGCACAGTTTAGCTATTTCCACTAGAGAACATTTAGTATAACCTTCTTAATTAATCAGTCATAACCGATTCCTCCAAAAAGGATAGCTCTTGATATTTTCAAGAGTACCCCCCACTGTAAATATTTCATATAAGACGAAGAGTTCTAATGCATTTGAATACCTTTAATGAAACTTGAATCCAGCTCACAACAGATATGAAACTTGATAAATCTGGATATATATATATATATGTATAATTTCACTATTTATGCTTAGGAGAAAAAGAAAACAAACCTCAATCCTCTTATGTTTAAATTCAACAACTCTATCACGTTTAAAAACAGAACAGACCCCTAAGCTTAAAGGTAAACAAAGAGGAATCCTATCTGTGCCTGCCTAACATTTTCTTTACATTTGTGCCGTTTCGAGCTTGCTATAATGCTTTAGCCCTGAGTTTTTTTTTAGGTTCCAATCACTAAGGAGAACACAAGTCTATTACTCACAAACAATTAAATAGTATTTCATATTACAGCAAGACCACGCTAATACCTATAATAATCCCCAGAGAAGCATTTGTTCTCACAAATGCTAGACTACCTTCAGTAAAATTATCTTATGGGGGGGGTCAGCTACCAACTTTATTGATAATAAATGTTGTAATTCACTAAGCCCAGTTCCTTGTTCTTTTCCTTAGATAGTACAAATATTCTGCAAAGTAATTCTTTCTCAAAGCCTTTCTTCCCTACCTATACCTAGAGCCCCATTTTCAACAAGTTTTACATACAGCTGTATACTTTCTATAATTAAGAGCTTGATACCAATGGCTGAAAATGATGCTGGATTTATTCTTAAAAGAACCAGATCATAAAAATAATTCCAAAATGTGATTTGTTGCAACTCTATTGTTTCCTTTAAATAGTAATTTAATTTCTATTAAACATCACAACCTTGGGCTTGATTTTATTTGCAAAACCTTGTTTATAAGTCTTACTATTCAATCATAATTCAAATAAATTATGCAATGCAATTCCAAGACAAATGATAAATTATTCAGATATTCCACAAATTAACAATTTTTAAATTTACCAAATTCCTGTTTAGTGCACTAATAGAATTTTAATAATCAAAGGTCTCAGGTGGCATTTCCCGCCATCCACACTTAGCCCCTTTACTAACACGTATACTTTGGTGAAGCCACCTTGGTGCTATTTGAGAGCTTCACATACAGGCACACCCAAAGCATGCAGATAAGTCTTGGTATGTACAAGAACAAATTTCAGTCCATATGTGAAATAACCCCATATTTGGAAGAGAACTTATCTGAAATATACAAATATATTATAGAAACATTGTACTTATCACCTATACAGGAAATAGAAATGATTCTGTGTAAGAGAGCACAGAAATGTTAGCAATACTTTGGGGATATTAGATATGAATGTCTAATCCAATTTTCTCCAAGGTATCACTCCATATTATGGTAAATAAACAAATAAGAGCTGTATCGAGGTGTGGAATATCATTAGCCTGAGAAAAGGCTGGGAAAATGGATTACACAAATGACAACTGCAGGAGAAAATTATATTCTCTTTTCCTGAACAAATGTTAAGTGCAACCTCACTAATAAAGACTTACACTCAAACTATGTTACAATATACCGGGTTTCAATTTTGAAGCATCTAAGTTGATTTGCAAGCTAAATTGTTGCTGAGGTATACTAGAGCTATGAAAACACAGCCAATTTATACAGAAATAAGTCATCAGTATTGCACTTCAGAGAAGAGCTGTGAAAGCAAACTAGTCATTACGGAACAAGAAAAAAATCACCCCTAGGTTTTACATGTTCATAGAGATGTGTCAGCTGCTGTTCTGTTACAAAAAACTATCCTCTACCAAAATGATGTTGAAAACAGAAGCTAATGCAATGTAGAAACCGAAGAGAAATATATGAAGACAGACGTGCTGCCACTCAAAGCAGGTGGTGCTATTTCAGAATTAAAATGTTGTTCCAACTATGGCACTGTGCTCATAATCTATTTTAAACAACTCATTCAGTTCACAAAGGATTACACGATTTCATTCATTTCTACCTCATCAACTAAAGAACATTTTAATTTTTCCTAAGAGTTCTAGAACAAATAAACATTCACAATTGTATTATTAATTAAAATGGATAATTCATTTGTATTAGTATTCCATATCTTTTAATACAATATACCTAATGTAAAAATAACACATTCATAACAGCATAAAAGATAGGGACTGTAGCTGCCAGAGAAAACAATTTGATGGAGGGGTCTTGGGGATAAATAAAGCAATTATCTCAAAATTATCGCTCTTGTTTCAGTTTCAGCAAACAAATCTAAGTAAGTCTTCCTTTGATTTTAGTTCCCCGTGTAATTCTAACCAGCTAATTATCCTTGAAGTCAAGAATGAGGCATGACTCTACACCTGGCCTTTCCCATCATATGCCCATAGTCCCCTCCACTTTCCTTTTTCTACCCTGAGGTTTGATATTGAAGGAAAGCACGGACACCTCTTACACAAATGCTGATTGACAGTCAGCTCCCAGGAAATGTGGAGTACAAAGAGGAGAGAAAATTTTAATGTAGCACTTATGTTAAGGGGTATGAGGTGCAGGGTAAGCCAAGGGCAAGTGGCCACCAGCAACCCCCCTGTCATTGTTTGCACTCGGAGGGATTCCTATTATGGATGGTGATGCTATTTTAACGAGTACCCAGATTATAAACTGGGTCCTAAACTAATACTGTATCATCATTTGTCACCAGTTAAAATATATAATATAGTATTTTGGAAGGAGTAAAAGTTTCCCTCTATTTCTACAAATAAAACTAAATGAGCTATTTCCTAAACACTGTAGCTATGCACTTCATGGTATGAAAAGGGAATTGTTTTAGATCATCAAGGCACTAGGAGAGACGGTTTCATTCCCCAAATCTTAAAAGGTATACATTTCTCATCTATTTACCTTTTCATTATGCTCCTGTTTCTTGCACATTATACATGTCTTCCTCGACAGATTGGTTCTGACCACTAATGAATGTCTACCTAACAATACAGCCCTCTATTTTATGCTTTGCTTTCAAAATTAGAAGCCATTATTCCACAGAGTACAAAGAGCGCCGACGCAAGGTATTGCCAAAAAGCCACAGGTAGTATTAGAACATGCCAGAACACTTAACATTAGACTATCATTCCTCTCTAAAACTTCTGCTGCCAAACTGCTCACAAAATCTGGAAGCTCAAAGACAGGTTTCAAGAGCAATTAAATTCTCCAAAAGCAAAACTGTACAAAATTATGCACTCTTCTTAAGTCTCCATTTATAGACTACATTTTCTCTGGATCTTAATTAAGATAATGATGCACACCTGTGTCAACATTCTCCAGCAAGACAGCCTTATCAGTCATAATCCTTTAAGTACACTCGAAAACAGCAAAGTGATATGACAGAAGCAATCTGTTGCCTTTCCTGATGCTGGTGTTGTGTCTCTGCCACAAGAAAGACGAGAGCTTTAAAACCCAGCAGATTTACTTGTGTAAGTCTTTAAAGTTTTAACTGTAAACAGCTATTACACTAAATAAACAGGCGTCACCTCCTTGGCCCTTGATAGAAACAATGACAACTCTACTTGTCCAAAACTTGAAGAACAAGCTCCATGCCACAGCTTGGCAGTACAGTCGTAGCTCTTATTTTTTTAAAGCTCTATGTTATAAGATCTAGGCATAACTGGATCCGTGCAGATATGACAAACCAATAAACCCTTGGCAAGTTTTAAACTGAAGCTTAACGCGGCTACATTAAAAACGATCAGAATACCCTACCCCTACTGCAACATGTTTAGAAACATACAAATGCAGCAGCAAGGGAAATAAAACAGTCTTGGTGACTTGGCATGAGTTAAGATAGGTCCTACCTCTGCTGGTGAAAAAGGAGCTTCAGCGACAAGAGAGCCGGAACTACAGCTAACAAAGTGAGCAAGTCCCCAAATAGAAAAGCTGATGAATGGAAAGGAAAAGAGGGGTGTGTGTGTGTGTGTGTGTGTGTGTGTGTGTTGGGGGGTTGATCCTCCCCAGTATCAAGATAAAAAGGTAAAACCTTGTTTTCACCAAACGAGAATATAAAACCTTTCTTATAAACAGGGAGAAAGGCCGCCAGATGCTATGCGAATTCCGTCTGCCTGCTAATGATCAGGGTTAGCCTTCCCTCACTTATTAACACAATTCTGTATCTGACACAGGCGGCTGAGGTCAGCCAAGCAGCAGAGCCGTCAATGTGCAAATAAAGCAGAAAATAGAGACATCCTTAAGAAATGAGCCTTAAATTTGATGTAGAGCGGAGGTGACAACCACGGAAACAGAACCATAAATTCTAAAGGTTTCAATATCTTGCAAGATTCTTTCTAGTCTTTCACACCAAAAAGAAGACAGTAGTAGAAAAAACAGGGTGGGGAGCAAGATGGGGAGGGGGAACAGAAACAGCCGAGCTGCCCAAGTGGCAGGATTATATAATGAGGATGTCTGCGTGACAGACTCGGGCTCTCAGTGGCACAAACCTCCTTGGCTCGCTTTCAGAAGTCGTCGTCCTGGAACAGAGCCGAAACACTGATTCAGGGGGACACGCGTGGGCCCGGGGGATACGCCCACGCGCGCCTTCCTGCACGCGGGCTAAAGCACCCGCCTGGCGTGTCTCACGCTCTGGCAGCCCACGCGCGGGGCCCGGCCGCGTCCACGCCATCCGCTTGGTGCGCGGCTCTGCGCGGGCCGCGGACGCTCCCTCGTGGCAGGCCGCGCCGACCGTTAGCTGGGCTGAGCGGGCGGAGCCGGGGGCGGTGCGGTCGCGGGAGGCGGGGACCCTCGCGTCGGGGCGGGGACGCTCCCGGCAGACACCCGAGCCTACCCGGAACCCGGAACGGTCAGCCCGAGAGGCAGCCTCAGGCCGTCGCGCGCTCCCCGGGGCTCCGGCCCCGCGCGCCGCTCGGTCTGGCTCACAGCCGCCAGCCTCAGCGGCGGACAGCTTCTGGTCTCCATGACAATACGCAGTCGAAGCCACGCCCAGCCACGCCCCCTCGGCGCTGGGACTCCGAAGGAGGCGGCTGCGTCATCCAGAGGTGGGGCTAGTGGAGGCCAGCGCCCAATCAGAGACGAGGGCTGTGTAAGGGACGGGCCGGGTGGGCCGAGAGGTTCTCGGAGAATGTAGTCCGCAGGGGTCCAACCTCTTGGGGGCGGAACCTGTAACCGGAGTGCCAGGCAAGGGGCATCCTGCGCGCGTGCGTGAAGGCGCGCCGCGGAGCTGGTCCCAGTGTGGTCAGGGTGGGGTTAGTGTATGCGGTGGCCCCAGATCAGCAAATTGTGCGTCCCGGGGGTCAAAATCATTGAGCGAAACTTTGTGCGTAGTTATGCTCCAGCCTGCACGTTGCCGGGTTGTGAAAAGCCACAGAATGCTTGGGTTGTGCGCTCTGCGGGCCGCGGTCCTGGTTCACCAGCGCCCCTGCCTGTCCCTGAGCTCCAGTGCGTCTGTAATTTGCGGCGGTGGGAGGTGGAGACCAGGGGTGAGGGTTTGTTTTGCCTTCTCACTGTATTGCTGTGTGGTGGTGGGGCGTCTGCCTGTGACTCAGTGGTGTGTGTTTGCCCGGCCAGCACCTCGCTGAACAAACAGCGGCCGGGTTAGACACTGTTCTGCCCAGTGTTTGCAGTGGAACGGGGGCGGGTGCGAGCGAAGGGGAAGGAGACTTAGTGGAACAAAAGGGGAGAGATCCCACACGCACCCCGTCACCACAAACCTGGCGGGGCGAACTGCCCGTAGCCAGCCGTGAGAAGCAATCAACGCTGCGTGGCCGAGAGCCACCGGGGGACCTACTCGGGTGTAACTGCTTCTCCGCCACTCACGTCTTGCTCACTGCCTCCCTTTGGTCCAGAGAAAAGTCACACCCCCACCCAGAGTCGGCGAGTCTCCTCTCTCGCCTCCTTTAGCCATCTGGTGGAAGGGAGGCCCAGCAGGGTCCTTCAGCCTAGGCCTGGCTCTCGCCCACCTGCTGCTGCGGCTGGCACAGAGAGGCGGTCATCCCGGCCTCTGTGTGCCCTGGGCGCGGACATCCATTGACTCTCCCTAGGACCTAAATTCCAGGTCTCCAGCTCAACCTAGAGACCCCCGGCAGGAGAGAAAAGCCGCTGTGGAGCGAGTGACGAACCACCTCCGAGGCCAGTTTTCCGGGGAACAAGACGTCCGCCAACTTCGCTATTTGCACTGGCGAGGAGGGCGCTGAGCGTTCACCCAAGCGCAGCCCGCTGTCTCTTTCCCTTTGTGTTTCCGAGCGGCCCGACACACGACCAAGGCCGGTCGTGCGTCGAGATTGCCGCTCCGCCCAGAGTTAGCAGAGGAGAGGAAAGTTGGAAGCGATCGGCGCGCTTGGGATGTGATTGTCATCCTGGGGCCGGCGCTCGAGAGTCTGAGAAAGAGAGGAGAGGAAGAGTCGGGGAGGGAGGAGGGGGAGGCAGGGCAGAGGAGGAGAGGGGGGGCGGCGGAGGAGAGGCGGGCGCTAGGGAGGGGCGAGGGGAGCGCCAGTGAGCGGGAGAGGAGCCGGGGAGGAACAGGGAGAGGGCGAGGCGCGCCTGGCGGCCGGGTTGGCTGCGGCCGCCCAGAGGCTCCTGCCAGTCCCCCCACCGACTACACCCCGGGAAGGAGGAGCTTCGCGCGCGCACAAGGCGTCAGAATCCTCAATTTCCAACTTAGCATCTTGGCAGGACCTTTGCAAAGCCAAAAGCAGAGCCCCCCGGTGCAAAGAGCGAGGGGGGGTGGTGGGGGGGAAGAGAAAGCCTAGCCCGGGCAAGCGGGGCGCGCAGAGGTGCGGGCGCGGCGGTCGCAGCCGGAGGCGCGCGGGAAGCCAACCAGGAGGTGCCGCGGGCCGGAGCCCGGGAGCCGGGGCTCGAAGAGCTGCGGCCCGGGGCAACCAGAGGCCAGGTGCCCGCTCGCTCGCCCTCGCAGGGCGCCGCCCGGCTCGCTGGCCGCCGCGGCGCGGCGCGCCCCATGCCCGTGTGTGGCCATGTCCTACCCGCAGGGCTACTTGTACCAGCCGTCCGCCTCGCTGGCGCTCTACTCGTGCCCCGCATACAGCACCAGCGTCATTTCGGGGCCCCGCACGGATGAGCTCGGCCGCTCGTCTTCCGGCTCCGCATTCTCGCCCTACGCTGGCTCCACTGCCTTCACTGCTCCCTCGCCGGGCTACAACTCGCACCTCCAGTACGGCGCCGACCCCGCGGCTGCGGCCGCCGCCGCCTTCTCGTACGTGGTGAGTGAGCTAGATCGGCGGCGGGCGGGCGGGCAGGCAGCCGGGGCCAGGCCTGCAGACCGTGGCTGCGGGGGACACGGGCCTAGGCGCCACCTCGTCCGCCCAGCTTCGCGGCCCTTGCAAACTTGAGCGATTGTCTTGCTCGCCTTCGCCCGAGCCTCGGACTCCGGAGTAGCTCCGACAAGAGCCGCGTCTCCCTGCGATTGCCTAGCTAAAGAAGGGAAGGGTTTAGGGGTGCACTATTAAAGAACAACATTTGGCTCGAAGGTCTGGGCCAACCTGCAAAATTTTTTTTACGTTTTTTTTTTTGTTTTGCCATTTCAGAAAAGTAGTTCAAAAGAAGCAGAGCCGAATTCTGAACAGTAGTAGCGTGCAAAATCTATGTAAATGTGTTTGGCCTCGCCTTTAATTAATCCTCCAAAATGTTGCAAATCCGTAATCCTATCTTCCCAATCCGATTTGAAAGTATTAAATTCTGAAACGTCCAGTGAGCTGCGGTGTATCCGGGTTTTTTTCGGCCGGGTGTGCTTTCTGGAAAAGCGCAACGGCTTCGGTTAGGGCTAGCATTTTTGAACCGTCGGTGTGCAGACTAGAGCCCAGCTTGTCTTTGGAGTTTCTCTGAGGATTAAAGAAGGAGCCTTGACGTCCCTTATTGCACCCCCTTGCACCCAACGTGCGGCCGCCCTGGTGTAGAGCTCTGAGTCGCTGCCGAGGTTGCTCAGGCCTCTAAGTGAACCGTGGGCCCTGCCGCAGAGGCCAGATCTGGAGCCCTTGCCACCGACGTTTCTCGGTAGATGAGGGCCTCCAAGGTGGTGTACCAAGCCCTGAACAGCCTCAGGGGTCCAGAAGGACCACATTTAGAAATTGGGGGGCCCACTGCCTTCTGAGGAGGGGGAGGGGTCACTCGTGTTTGAATCAGCCAGCTCTGTCTGCCTCAGGGGAAGCTTGAGTGCCGGCCGCGCTGGCATGCAGACCCAGGGACAGAGGGAAAGTAGGTTTCACAGTCTTTTAGGTGACCGTGAAGTCCACACACCCCGCACCACTCACTTAATCTCTGCCTATCCCCCCCCCCTCACAGGGCTCTCCCTACGACCACACTCCCGGTATGGCGGGTTCCTTGGGGTATCACCCTTATGCGGCGCCTCTGGGCTCCTACCCTTACGGGGACCCCGCGTACAGGAAGAACGCCACTCGGGACGCCACAGCCACGCTCAAGGCCTGGCTCAACGAGCACCGCAAGAACCCGTACCCCACCAAGGGCGAGAAGATCATGCTGGCCATCATCACCAAGATGACCCTCACCCAGGTGTCCACCTGGTTCGCCAACGCGCGCCGGCGCCTCAAGAAAGAGAACAAGATGACATGGACGCCACGGAACCGCAGCGAGGACGAGGAGGAGGAGGAGAATATTGATCTGGAGAAGAATGACGAGGACGAGCCACAGAAGCCCGAGGACAAGGGCGACCTCGAGGGCTCCGAAGCAGGTTGGTGGATACGGGAAAGGGTGTGTTGAGCGGGGCAAAGGGGGCCTGGAGGGGGCGCGCACGGGTCCCTGCCTCTGCTGGCAGGAACCGGGGCCCCGCCGCGTGGCCTCCACGCCTCTGACAACCTGGGTTTCGCCCACAGGAGGAGCAGAGCAGAAGGCGGCTGCGGGCTGCGAACGGCTGCAGGGGCCGCCCAGTCCCGCCGGCAAAGAGACCGAAGGCAGCCTCAGCGACTCGGACTTTAAGGAGTCTGAGGTCCGCCACGATGAGCTGCCCAGGCCACCGCGCACGGGCGGGCCGTCCCCAAATGGGCCCGCAAACGCGCGTCTGGCGGAGGATGCGGGTCCTCACTACCCCGCGGGCGCGCCGGCTCCTGGCCCGCACCCATCGGCCGGAGAGCTGCCCCCCGGCTCGGGCGGGCCCTCAGTCATCCACTCTCCACCGCCACCTCCTCCGCCGCCTCCGGCCGTGCTCGCCAAGCCCAAACTGTGGTCTCTGGCAGAGATAGCCACTTCCTCGGACAAGGTCAAGGACGGGAGCGGAGGGAGCGAGGGCTCCCCGTGCCCACCGTGCCCAGGGCCCGTGGGCGGGCAAACCCTTGGTGGCAGCCGCGCGTCTCCGGCCCCAGCCCCCGCACGCTCGCCCTCGGCGCAGTGTCCCTTTCCTGGCGGGACGGTGCTGTCCCGGCCTCTCTACTACACCGCGCCCTTCTATCCTGGCTACACGAACTATGGCTCCTTCGGACACCTTCACGGCCACCCAGGGCCAGGGCCAGGACCCACAGGGGGTCCTGGCTCTCATTTCAATGGATTAAACCAGACGGTGTTGAATCGAGCAGACGTTTTGGCTAAAGACCCGAAAATGTTGCGAAGTCAGTCTCAGCTAGACCTGTGCAAAGACACTCCCTATGAATTGAAGAAAGGTATGTCCGACATTTAATTCGGGTGCGGTACTCCCGGACTTTCCTAATTTATTAAAACGATGGCCTTGGCAGTTATTTTTCCAT